ATAAATATTCAACAATCAAAGGAGTATGTGTCAAGAATGATAAAACTTTTTAAAATATTTAAAAAATTAGTCGAACATTCTTGCAGTAAGTCTTAACAAATTAAATTTCAAATTTTTTAAAAAAGGATAAAAATTTTATAATATTTTTAAAAGTATTGGCTTTCAAATCGAAATAAACATAAATTTAAAAAATGTCAACTTTCTTGACGTCACATTTAACAAATTCCGATTTCAATTAATAATAGGCTAAACCAAAACTCTTCAAATGAAAATGTATTCAATTCCTCTAAACAAATATTTAAAGATGCCCTTAAAAAAAGTGGCTTTGAATTTTTAAACTAAAATTTAACTTTGAAAAAAGAATGTATAAAAGCGAAATAGAACTAGAAATGTAATTTGATTCAAGTCCCCATAAAGCAAAAATGTTTCCACTAACATAGGTTTTTTTAATCGAAATACAATTAAAGTCAGCTACATATACAATTAAAGTTGTAATTAATACAATTAAAGTTGCACAAAAAAATATGGAAAGAATTATAAAAGGTCACAACAAAGATTTGGTAAACAAAAAAGAAATCCTAAATAAAAAAACTGCAGAAACTTGTAATTGTAAACAAAAAAACAACTGTCCAATGAGTGGAAGTTGTTTATCCAAAAATGCGGTTATAAATGTGTTGTTTCCTCTAAGAATGTACCTGATAAATAGTATATTGGCATAACAGAGGGTGAATTGAAAAAACGGTTTGCCAATCATAACCAATATTTTGAAAATAAAAACTATTCAAAAGACACCATGCTGTCAAAATATATATGGGAATTAGAAGATAAAAATATTGACAATTTTATAATGAATTGGTCCATCCTTAAAACAGCATTTGCATATAGCAATATTTCCAAAAAATGCATCATATGCCTTCAAAAAAATTTTTGAAATTATTACACATGCAAACCAAGAATGTTTATTAAACAAAAAATCGGAATTAATTTCTAAATGCAGGCACTAAAAAAAGTTTCTTCTAAAAAACTATATATGTATATATATATATATATATATATATATATATATATATATATATATATATATATATATATATATATATATATATATATATATATATATATATATATGTATATATATATATATATATATATATATATATATATATATATATATATATATATATATATATATATATATATATATATATATATATATATATATATATATATATATATATATATATATATATATATATATATATATATATATATATATATATATATATATATATATTAGGGTGGGTCATAATGTATTTTTTTCTTCTCGCAGGCTCTAAACATTGCTCGAAAGTTGTTTTTTTATTACTAATTTCACCCGCAACTATAATTACAAATATTAGCAGGCCCTATTATTATTCAAAAAAAAAGATTTTCAAAATTATGTAATGTAGGTACTCAAATAAAGCGAAATTTTATAAAAATTTTAAAACTAATATTTTTTTTATATAAAAATTATTATTTTTAGATTTTATTGCATAATAACTATAGTTTTTTTACTAACACTAAAAGTGAAAAATTGCAATTTTACATCTTTTTTAACAACAGTTTTTTTCGGCAATATGATTTTTATAAAACGATTATTATTTTCGAATTATTTATAAAATTTCGCTTCTTTTGAGTACCAGTTTGACCTACTTTTAAAAAAAATTTTTTTCCAAAATATAAGGGTGTCGGTAATTTTCCCATTAAAGTTGCGCCCTTTAAATTTTTGATAATCATTCTCATATTTGATAGTATAAATATTAATAACTATTAGCAATGTTTAAGGCCTGTAACATGACAAAAAAAAATTTTTGACCGACCCTAATATATATATATATATATATATATATATATATATATATATATATATATATATATATATATATATATATATATATATATATATATATATATATATATATATATATATATATATATATATATATATATATATATATATTATATATATGTATATATATATATATATATATATATATATATATATATATATATATATATATATATATATATATATATATATTTACACATATACGAGATATCGTCACTAAAACTGCAAAATTAATGTTTATGTTGTAAAACGTTTCTAAAAATTGATATACATGTACTTTCAAAACCTTGTAACAGTCTGACTAATGAGATGGTCTCAGACAAACATTTGACAAAAATGACAAACATTTGACAATGACAAACATTTGATAAAAATACTTAAATGCATTGACTATAAATATGATAGCAAAACCACTTATCATTAAGAACGATGGCTGTAATTACAGCATAATGGCGTTTAATATTATTTGAATCATTCATAAAATGTTTAATTGTGAAAATATTGAGATAGAATTGTATCTAATAACGGCTCTAAAAGTAAGTCAAAATCTACTCGAAGAGTATTTTACTATATTGTTCAATAAAATGGCATTTTGTTGATAATTAACGCGATGAAAATTCGTTTTAATGTGCACATAGTTTGTATCATTAACTGCAGATGCAGATCCTGAAACATTTGGCACTATTGATAACGAAATAGATGTAGCCCATGACAACATCACATTAGATTCGTTGTTAACGGATATCATGCTTCATAACGTAGATGAGAACAATGCGATAAATTTAATAAACTTAGAGATGCTCGATGAATGTTACTACTCTGATCGTTGTGAATATTCAGAATCATTGAATATTCAGAATCATCAGATAATGAGAAATCAAATGTTGACGATGTATCGCTGTCTATGTTTTCAAAAAAGAAAAGGCAGATACGAGGGCGAGCCAGTTTAAACAGCTGGAAAAGAAATTGCAACAAAATAAAGAAAATGAAAGGATAAAAGTATAAAGGACTGAAAAAAAACTAAGACCGGAAATGTTTTCAATACGCAGTGAGAGTACCGCGTAATCTGGGTTTAACATGTCTATCAAATCGCTATCAAAAAGCAAAGAATCTTTTTTGTCAGAGTTTTAATGAGGAATAGAGAAGAACAATTTTCTCAAATGTTGGGGGGAAAATGGACTGTCGAATGTTACAGACATATATCGCTACTCTCATGGAATCAATACAGTAGAAGCGTAAGACAGCTGCAACAGCACAACGTAACTCAACCTTAATGTGCTTCTTGAAAAAGATAATAAAAGATTCCATATTTGAAAAAAAATATTTTTGTCAACATTAGAAATGCGTGAGTGGCAAATTTTGGTATGGCACATTTGAGTTTAGATGGCAGTGGCACGCATGAGATTGTTGGTGCAACGATTGTACAAAAACGTAATTGACGCAATACCTCTGCTAATGATGAGAGAAAGGAATTTCTGGTTACATTTTTGAAAATTTTACTTACTCTTCTATCTCACTACTGTAGAGCTACTACTGATAAACTCTTTAATGAACCATCAATAATGTCTGCAATGAATTTGTATCATTTGTATGTACAGTTGTATAAAGAAAAAGATGCCACAACGATACCACTCTCTAGGACAATAGTAGCTGCCGAATTCAAAAAACTTAACCAAGCTATATAGAGGCCTAAGAAAGATCAATATGATACTTGCACATCACACTCTTTAGGTCACGTTTTAGATAAAGTATACAACTTACATCAACTACGTAAAGAAGAGGCACAAAATCAAAAATTCATCAATAAAGCCGACATGATAGCAAATCCGGGTGAACTCGCAATATTTACTTTGGACGTACGAGCAGTCAAAATGGCTCCCTTTCTGAAAGCAAATGCAATCAACTGCAAGACAAAACTATGCGTTTATAACGGTATTTAATGGTATATAATATATGCGGTATATAATGAAGCTAATGGGAATGTTACGTGTTACTTGTGGAATTAAAGTGAAGGTGGTTTATTCGGAGACATATTTACAAGTATGATAACGGACCGTTTGCAAAGCCTGTTCAGGTCAAACCCTTAGTGTACTAAGCTAATTTTGAACAGTGATGGTTGCTGCTATCAAAATGAGGATGCAGTGGTATTGTATGCCGTGTTAGCTATTGCAGTTGAGCATAATGTGCCGATGCCGAAGAGACCAGCGCGTGGTTTATTCTTGGCAACTAGACTTTATTCACCCCGTTCAAACTTTCAAAGATGAAATTTATTCATCTCGAGGAACTCAAGCAGGTTCTACCTGTCTATTGCTGGGAGTTCTATGACAATCTAGCTCTTGATTAATTGGTTTTCGATTATTGTTGCGAAAGTCATTGACAGCATATTTTTGTTGTCAAATTTTTAATAATTTTTTATCATAAAATTAACAATGCATGTTAAACATGTAATTAACATTAAAATTTATTGAACATCCAGATTATAGTAGTAACAAACAATTTAACTGAACATATTATTTAACAAGGATATAATGTTGTTCTGAACATATACTTTGTGTAAACATTGTATTGAATATGCAGATTACTGTTACTTAATTGACATTAGGCTACTGTTGATTTATTTCCAACATAATTGTAGCATACAGTCTTGATTTTGAATAATGTTGATGAGAAATGAAAAATAATGGCCACTAAACTTAAACATTTCAATACTATTGTTAGAGCTCAACATAGATTTTTATTTGAAAAACCTCCTGACTAACAAAACTGAGCACAGCAAAACTAGTAAAAACACGTAACTGATTTTCCCCACCTTCTGCCGAATATTTTTATGAATTGTTACTGAACATCAATTCAAGGCCCAATAAAACATTGACTTTGAAAGTTTTATTATGAAAAACATAATACTTTTAAAGTTAATAAGTTTTAACTCTCTCCTAAAATATTACATACATGGTTTTGCAGTTTCAGGGACAATACATGTTGTAAATTTTGTTTCATAATAAAAAATATTGCACAGAAAGGTTTTTAATCAGTTAATTAATAATTTAAAACAAATCGTACCAATCCAATAGTTTGGGTCTTTCTTGCTATAATTTAATAAAATACTTGTAATAAACAAGTTTTCCTCTTGATCTTCTACACTTAACAAATTTCCTCCTTTTAAATGACATGATAAATGAGAACTTTTCCAATCACTGCCATTAAATGTTTCATTTGTTTTCTGGAAAAAATAGCAACCGTTTTTATAATTCAACCAACCATCGACACAAGAATCGTTGTTTTCTAAAAAATGTTAATTAAAAATCAATCAACTAAAGTCAAATTTTTTGTTCCATTTTTTTTTAAAGAATTTGTAAAATATAATAATATTGTTAGTAATAATGTAAAGTATAATTAGTATTGTTAGCTTTAGGTGAAAAATAGAAAACATTATTTAAAACTATGTGTAGTTTTTAGGTCGTTTTACGAATATAGACAGCTGTCTATATTTGTAAATTTGACCTAATTTAAGTCTGTATAGATAAGTTAAGTGGTTAGGCTTATATTACATAATGCTAAAACTTTTTTTATTTACATTTTAATATTAGTCTCTGATAAATCAATGATGTAAAAAATGACTTAACAATTATGATAAAATTAAATCATGTCTGTTAACTATTATAAATCAGAAAAACTGAGTTTGTAGTAAAAAAAAACAGATCGGCATTTTAAATTGTTAATAAAAAATTGAGAAAGTGTTCTTTTACTCTCAGTCTGAGGAAGTTAAGCATTTCAATTAATATGATGATTTCCTAAAATACTTTCTATATATAGTTTGAATGGTTTCCTAAAATATTTTCTATATATAGTTTATAAATTCCTAATATATTTTGTATAGTTTAAAATTAAACTCTGAACTGAGGGTAATTGATAGTAATCAACATTTAATATGCTATATAATTTCTAGATTTTTTTAAAACTGCAACATGATAAAAAAGCGGGATTTGGTTAGGCAATTGTTAAATATTTAAGTAAAAAAGAGATACTTATAGAGACTTAAAAAGTAATAATTCTGGAAAATACTCATGACTGACTTCCATTGTAATGTTTGTCATGCTTATTGCTTAAATAAAGTTAATGTGAGAAATAACCTTAGCATTGAAAAAATGAAGTAATTTAGATGGATGAACAGGGTTATAAAGTTGTTTATTTGGAATAGCAGGAAGACTATTATCAAAAGAGATTAAACAGATGAGTTAGACGGAAAGATCTCTTCAAGTTGTTTTGGTATATTAAGCTAAAATAAGCAAATATTTTTTAACAGTAATTACTATGCAACAATAAATAATATTCTGCAAATAAATATTTTGTGAAAACAACATAAAACTAAACATATGTTATATATTTGATTGACCATTTCACATGTCAAAAACTTTATATTGCAGGAAAATATTTGCTAGAATGTCATGTTTGTTTTATTAAAACAATAAAATTATTTATTATAATGTAAATAAGTATTACCTTTTACAAACTTACAAATAAATCCGTTAGTGACACGACAGTAATTGTCATTCCAACCCATACTATTTGTTTCAACACAGTTTTCTCCAGGTTCAAGATTGTTAGGTCTTTTTGGTAACCAGTTAAAGAACTGTGGACTTGTGTTATCTGACCACATAAACTCTCTGTTATTGCAAGCATCATTGAGTCCTTTAGTAAATACATTTTTGCATCTTAGAATAAGTCTTGGTTTTATCTTTAAACGTTTATACCAAAGTAAAAGTATAAAGTTACCAATAAAAGTTAAAATTTAAATTAAATATTTAAAATACAAGAAAAATAACTATTTTACCAATCCAATAACTATTTTTTTGCATACTGCTATCTTTAATAATGTTTAAAACAAAAACATTTTCAGCTTGATCCTCGATACTTAACAAATGCCCTCCTAAGGTTTGACACGACAATGAGGCATCTAGCCAACTTTTTCCGTTCGATGTTTTATTTTGAAAAAAGTAGCAATTGGTTTTATACTCTAACCAACCATTGTCACAGTCATTGCTTACTGCCAAAAAAAAAAGTTAAAAACAGTAATAAAATTAAAGAATTAAGTTTTTTATTAAATTAACGATATTATTAAAACCTGTGTTTTTAGGAGTAGGTTTAATGTATAATACTTATTTTTATAAACTTTAAAATATTATAATACAATTTCTTTTTGCACTTGAATTTCATGTCAAGTCATAGGATTTTCGCAATAGTTTACATTTTAAAAATATTCATAAAAAGCATTGCGATACTTATAGTGATAGCAATAATAATAACAACAACATTCAATACTTTATAACAATAATAAAATTAATATTAATGACTATGATGGTGAAAGTAAAAATGGTAATTTTAATTACTTTTTTTACTAAAAAACAATAGTAATAATGATATTTGGGGCCATTCATAAAGGACGTCACCATTTTTTAGCCAATTTTTGACCCCCTCCTCCCCTTTGTCACCGGTTGTCCTTTTTCTCTATACCCCCTTGAAAAGGACGTCATAAAATCCTGAAACCCTCCCCCCCTATTTTTAACTCTAAAAAAATTTATTTCATCTTGTAATGATGTTTGAATCTGCTGCTACACCTTTGAAAAATAAAATTAAAAATATTCTCATACATTATCTTCTTAAAAACACATCTTTACGTAGTTTTCCATGTTAATTAAACTAAAATTAAAAATCTATAAAGTGACATCCTTTTCTGACAGCCTCCCCCCCTATCCTTGTCTTTTTTTTTCCTTTTTAACTCGACTCCCTCCCCCTCCCTATTTGGATGACGTCCTTTATGGATGGCCCCTTTATATAAGTAATATATTTTCAGCTTGTGGCAACATTTTAAGTAATATCAATAATCTAAAAAGTCAAGATTTTTTACGAAAAATATAAAGTTTAAATTAACTTGGTTAAGACAGTTTAAAACAACCTTTTAAAATAATAAAAACTTATTGAAAAATAAGTCTACACAAAAGCATGAAAACAAGTAGGTTATATAAAAGTACAAAAGCAAATAACCAAACTACCTATTTGTAAAGAATTATTTTATAAAAAACTTATTTTTAAGAGAGCTGAAATGCTTTACAAACAAGATTAACAATTAGAAAACCTAATATTTTTAACTATGATAAATCAGAAAAACATGATTAAATATATAATACTTAATTATGCTATGTTGTGTTTTAGGCTTTGAAATGATTTTAACTTCGAATTCAAAAAAAAAACCGTGCAACTTCATAAAATAAATTTTATGCTGAACTTCATAAAAATAACAAAAATGTACCCAAATCGATATAAAATCTATTATTACTTTCTAATAAAACTTTGTAACATAAAAATAAACTTTATCCCCCATTTCATAAAAATAAATAAAACGTACCTAAACCTATATAAAAAGCATTATTAATTTGTACAAAGCATTATTACTTTGTACAATTCACCCATTTGTCGGTAAACTAGGTTTGAATCCACAGACTACTCTTTTATGTGCTTTTTTTTAGCACCACTTCACTCTATCGCCTTTCTCTTTGTTCTATACCGCTATCCTTCATCTCAATACTGCACCTTTCTTGATGTTATTTCTGATCATATTGACGAATCCCTCTCTCTTTATTTATCAGCCAGTATTATTGTTGTCGGTGACCTTTAATGCTTATCACACTGAATGGCTTGGCTCTAATGTCAGTGACTCTGCAGGCACTAAAGCCCACAACTTTTGCTTTTCTCAATCCCTACTCAAATAGTCAACTTTCCTACTTGCTTTCCAGATTACCCGAATCATTTACCTTCTCTACTCTACTACTGTCTTGTTTCTGATCCTTGTTAATGCTCAGTTTCTTGACATTCGCCCTTAGGTGCCTCTGATCACATTTTGATCTTTCTAAAACTATTATCTTATTCTTCTCTATCATCGGAATCCCCCTATCATTGTACATCTTACAACTATCTTAAAGCTAGCTTGGACTCTTTCCGTAACTTTTTTTGTGATGGCTCTTGAGCAGAAATCTTTCGTCTTTCTGTTGACAAATATGCTTCTTATATAACTTCGTGGAATCAGGCTGGCATTCCCTCTCGACGACTCCAGGTCATGCCTCACTCTTTTCGGTGGTTTTTCTCACATTGTGCTGCTGCAATTGCCAATCGAAATTATTACATCCATATCTATCAGCTAAACAATTCTCCAAAACACAAACGTCTGTTTATAACTGCTAGAAACCATTGTAAATAGGTTTTGTCTAATGTCAAAAGCCCTCTATTCTCAGGTCTTAAAGTTTTGTATTTCATCACAAAAATTAGGTTATTCTAACTTCTGGAGAGTCTTATCAATAATAAGGGAAAATCTTTAATTCCGCCTCTCTTGAATGGTTCAGAATTTGTCACCTCACCTAAAGACAAAGCTGAATTGTTTGCTAAGAACTTTTCATTACTATCATCTCTTGATTCTACTAGTTGCGTTCTACCTGATATAGCCGTCAAACAGGTTGATCAACTGCTAGACATTCGTATCACTCCAAATTCTGTATCTAAAGTGATTTCCTGCTTAGACTCTTCTACAGCTTGTGGCCCGGAAATCATACCTGTTATGGCCTTGCAGAAGTGTTCTCCAGAGCTATCATCTATCTTTTTAAAACTATTCAACAATTGATTATAAGAGTCTTGTTTTCCATTCAGCTGGAAAGCAGCATCTGTTATTCCTGATTTTAAAAATCTGGAGAGCGATCTGATTCGCCTAACTGCCGTCCCATTAGTCTTCTTCCTATCAAAAGCAAGGTTTTTGAATCTTTAATTAACAAACACCTAATATCTCATCTTGAATCTAATAACTTACTTTCTGATCATCAATATGGATTTTGATCTTCTTGTTCTACGGCTGATTTGCTAACCGTAATAACCGATAGGTTTTATCGTGCATTAGATAAAGGTGGATAGAATAAGACTATTGCTCTTAAAATTTCTAAAGCGTTTGACAAAGTTTGGCATACTGGTTTTCTCCATAAGCTTTTTTCTTACGTTTTATCTGGAAACATCTTTAAGATTATTGAATCCTTCCGATCCAATCATAGTATAAAAGTTGTCCTTGATGGACAGCACTTCTTTTCAATCCTTGACCCTCAACTCTTTTTAATTTACATTAACGATCTTCCAGATATTCTCGCATCTAAGGTGGTATTGTTCGCTGATGATAATACCATTTATTCTTGTCATGATAAGACGCCAACACTCTCTGATTGCTTGGAGAGGGCATTTGAGCTCGAGAAGGATCTCATTTATGCTACAACATGGGCTTACAGTGACTGGTAAACTTTAATTAAGATAAAACTCAATTTTTTTCTGCTAATCTTTATCGCAATAATTTAGACCTTCCTATATTTATGAACGGTAATGTACTTGATGAGTCATCTACCCTTCACTTCCGATCTTTCTTCCAAACCATATATCGAATCCGTTACAAAATTAGCATCTACTAAAATTCATTCTCGTGTTACTCGTCATTCAATTAAATCTCATCCTTTTTCTGCGACAGTTCTTAAGTGCTTCAAAAACTCTTATTCGTCTAGTTTTTTTTCTTGAACATCAGTTCTTAGGAACTCGCTTCCTTCATCTTAATTTCCTGATTTATATAATTTTTAATCTTTAAAGTCGTCTGTCAATCGTTATCTTGCTCTACAATCTTCATCTTTTCTCCTCCAGCTACTTTCAACTCTAATTAGTATTTGCTTGCATCCTTGTTGGAAGCGAAGATGTTTATAAACAAAGTAAAAAAAAACGAGTTTTAACGAAAGATTTATTTTAACGATGTTCATGGGAATGTTTATCTTACATTTTACAAAAACACATAAAAAGTATTCATACTTACCACGTTTAGTTACTTAATTAATTAAACTTATTTAGAAACTACTAGAGTTCTGTAGTATCATTCTTTACTACGTTTTAAAAAAATTGATTAACATCCATAAATTTGTATGTTTTCTTTAAATAAAGTTTTAGATAAAAAATAAGTTAAAATAAAAGATAAAAAATAAAATAATTAATTAAATAAATAAAAGAAACTAAGATATTTAAAAATAGCCTAATAGTAAGAAGTTTTTGTTTATTTTAAATGTATAAAAAGAAGTGGTAGTTTTAATGTTGTTATTAAGTTTAGAATTTGATAATTTGGGTACTCTATTTGCAATAAAGAATTCGGTGGCCGTATAATAGGATTTCGATTGAATGTAGCTCTGATTTAAAAATCTAGCAGAGAAAACATGATTTATTTTGTTAAAAAAGTTACTATTTATAAGGTGTCATTTATTTATCAATTTTTTACATAAAAGTAAGTTTGTTATTTATTGATTTAATAGTGATTATTTGATCATTTGCAGAAGCACTTTCTTTGGTAATTCGAGCAGTGCCGTGCCAAAAACCCCCCAAACCCCCCGGTTGGGGGGCTAGGAATTTGAAGAGGCCCTTTTTGAAAATTAAAATTATGATATAGGTTTTTTTTATTTATTTATAATATTAAAACTTCGTATTAACGTTTCCTTATTTTTTCAAATTCGGTAAACCTAACAAAATGATGCATGTATTGACATGCATATAATGTATTGACTGGCGAATACAAAGGAGGGGGTTGGGATTAGCCCCCAAAGAATTATCAAACTTTACATTTTTATTAATAAAAATTAAAAAAAAAAAGGAATATTAAAAAAATGCTGTTTTAAAGTTATACACACATTTAATATATATACCGTATAATCTCTCTAATTCGAATCTCCTTAATTTGAAAACCTCCATAAATCGATTAAATGCAAAGTCACCGTGAAATACCCTTATGTGAAAAAAACTTTCTTTAAATCTAAAATCACTCTAATTCGATTTTTTATTTTCCCCATTTTTGTTCGAATTAGAGAGATTGTACTGTATATATTTGCCAATATATAAACATTGTAAATGATCAAATGAAATAGTTGTTTAACCTAAAAAATAGGGCCCTTTTAAAAACAAATTACCCCCTCCTTAACCGGGGGACGGGCTTGACGTGTTACAAGGGCCCAAAATTTTTTTTTTGGGGGGTGGGCCTACCAACTGTCTGGCACGGCTTAGACAAACAAACTTTAAGTTAATTTTGCTTTTATACAAAAACTGCCTGAATATATCAAAATATTTTTGTAAGTTTCATATGTTTAAGTGCAAAATTAAAAACGAATTACTATCTAAACATTTAATAAGGTTTTCAGATTCTATATCATAGTATATTGGATTAAAATTTCTAATTTGTTCTTTATAATAGTTAATATCAGAATCGCACTCTTTATTTAATAAATTTGTTTTTTTATTTCGAATTGAATTAAACTCAGTGTTTTGGAATATAGTATTTTGACTCAATGTAGGGATAAATGTAAAAAATAAATAATAGTAATAATGAATAATAATTTAACTATTTTATTAACTATAATAAAATATTTTTATTTAAAAGTTAAAAGTAGAAAATGTGATTAAGCGTTGGTTTGTTTTCTTCTAAACTCTTTCACAATAAGTTCATCGTAAATAATAACAGAATACTTACCATTCAAATGTTTTCTTATTTTGCATGTTTTGCTGG